TATATATATATATATATATTTATTCTGATTCACTGATTTCCATAATGACTAAAAAGGAATGAGGACTAGAACCTGAAAAAAAAAATGCCCTCCTGCCGCCATCCCCTCTGCAATGTCCCTCTAACATTCTCTATTGACAAAGCTTAACATCAAGCTAACCGGAGAAAGATAAATGCTTACAGGGTTTAGCTCCAGTAACATAAAGCAGGCACAGAATGATATCTCAGGGCTGAGAGAAAATAAATTAAAACTGTGTAGGGGCCAGTAGGTGGCATGGTGGTAAGGGTACTCCCACACAGCAGACCATGGTTTAAGTCCTGGACCTGGCAGGTTGTTTTCTCACTTTCCTTCTCTTTCTCTCTGATGAGTTCACCTGCCCTATAGCAAAATTTAAAAAAAATAATAATAAATTAAATTAAATTTTTTTATATAAAAACTGGTATATAGGAGTAAGATTTTCTGGTGACAAAACATAATTGATAAAGCTTAAAAAGTCTAAATGAACAAAAACTTTGTATATTGCTGTAATCTAAATATCAATAGTTATTACAGGGCTTTTGGGGACCAGCAGTTAGCGTAATGGCTGTCGTTGGACTCTCACGTGGTGGACCGCGGTTCGCATCCCAGACCCGGTGGCTTAAAACTCACGCCAGGCGCGTGTGCATGCGTGCCCAAGATCCCGAGAGGAGAATGGAAGAGAAGGATTGTGACGTGGCCATCCCCCCTGGGGGGTGATTTCTCGCTTTCTATCTTTCTGTCTCTCTCTGTCTGTCTGACAAGCACATGCGCCCTATGGCAAAAACCTCTCAAAAAAAAACAAAAAAATAGTTATTACAGGGCTTTTGATAGATTATTAGAATCACTGGTAAGTACCAGAATTGCCAGCTGAGGTATATTGATGGTATAAATTACCTAATTTTTCACTCCTTCCTTTATCTTTTGCCATGTGCCTTTGCTGTTCTGCTTCCTAAAAAGGCAGCCTATTTCTACACATCTTAAATCCAGCCTAGCCTTGCAACTTGCTTGAACCAATAGATACTAGCCTATGTCATAAAAACATCATGGTTTCTCTTCATCAAACCTACTCTCAGCTGTGAGTATCTATGAAAAATACAACCTCTGAGACTACAGTGATTAATAATTAAGGAGCAATGGCATCTTACCAGGGGTAGGGGGAGAGTATAAGATAAAATGGCAGGCATCAGTAGTATACAAGAATAGGGAAGGAGATGGGGAGCACAGCCTATAGGTATAAGACTTGTACAGTCACACAGTGCCCTACACCTGGGGAAATCCCCCACTTGACTTAATGCTTTTCTATTGCTATCTTGAAATTCTTAATAATGTTTTTACAAAGGACTCTGAATTTTCATTTTGCAGTAAGCCCCACAAATTCAGTTGCTGGGTCTGTCCAGAGTTAATGTGTACTTCTGATATGGTTGGTCTTCTTCAAAAGAACAGGTTTTATGTATGGAAATAATTTTACCCACAAACTCCTCTATTAGGTTGTCAGGAAAATCATGACCCATTTTTCTGTTTTTCTATGCACAAACGTCTCATGACTTTTCCAAAAACCCAGTAGGTGCTACTGACCTAATAAGCTACTGAAGTCTAATCCTATTAATAGCTGGTATTTTAAACCTCAACTTTTTCCGTTTCTCCATAATCATTCATATGTCATTCCATATATTCTTTTTTTTTTTTTTGAGAGGTTTTCGCTATAGGGCGCATATGCTCGCCAGACAGACAGAGACAGAGAGACAGAAAGTGAGAAATCACCTCCCACGGGGGATGGTCACGCCGCAATCCCTTCTCCTCCATTCTCTTCTCGGGATCTTGGGCACGCACGCACACGCACCCAGCGTGAGTTTAAGCCACCGGGTCCGGGACTTGAACTGCAGTCAACTACATGGGAGTTCAGTGACATAGCCATTACGCTAACTGCTGGTTCCCTCCATATACTCATAAAAAGAGCTGGAACACATATTGGTAGAAGTCTGAAAATGATCTGTGAGAGGACTGTTTTCATTTCCATTATGCTAACTGCTGGTTCCCTCCATATACTCGTAAAAAGAGCTGGAACACATATTGGTAGAAGTCTGAAAATGATCTGTGAGAGGACTGTTTTCATTTCCCTGAAAACAGAACATATTTACCATTAAAACTCTCACACCATGCTAAATGTACTGCTCAAACTGTCATATAAACCCTCTCTCTCTTGCCTTACTCTCACATTCTGTTCTGTGGCAGAGAAAATGAAATATAAAATGTGATTTTTCCCTAGAGGTAACATTTTATGTACTATTTATTAAACCTACCTTGTGTGTCAGGTATCTAAAAGAACACATAAAAATGGACCCTTTCTAAAATAGTGTTTTCAATTACCTCTCAGTGCAATACCTTTCTAACTCTTCCAGATGCTATAAAAGTCCAAGGACTGAAGTTTCCTAGAAGTGTCATTATTGCTGCCAGGCAACAATGAGCCAGCTCACTGGGCTTTTCCATAACCTCTCCTTGTTATGCAATATTTTATATCCTTCCCTTATTCCTTCACAGTTCATCCACATCCCAGGTGCTTGGACTTTGGTTCCCCCTAGCTACAAGTAGATGAGGCTGACTGCCTCCTATTTAATACAGTGACATACAGGTTTAGCCTGTGAAGCAGGCTACTAAGGAAAAGAAACCTGAAGCCAAGAAGGCTGATGCCAGCAGCAAGGTTAAAAAAGATGATGCCAAGGCTAAAAAAAAAAAAAAAAAAAAACAAGAAAGGGAAGCCTCATTGCAGCTGAAACTCTGGTCCTAGCCGCAGAGCATCAGCAGATACTCCGGATCTGCCATGTACCCCAGGAAAGCCATGTACAAGAGGAAATACTCAACCACTAAATCCAGACTTGAAGAGAAAAAGAAAGAGAAGGTTCCTGCCACCATCATAAAACCAGTTGGTGGAGGGCCCAGGAGGTGGTGTGGTGGGTAAAGGCGCTGGATTCCCACACAGCCTACTGCAGTTTGAGTCCCAGACCTGGCAGCTTATTTTTTCACTTTCCTTCTCTCTTTTTCTCTTTCTCTCTGCATCTCTCTGGTCAAATTTTAATAATATTAATAATAGTAACAAGTGGAATTAAATAATTTTTTTGGAGAGATTTTCGCTACAGGGCACATGCAGTCGCCAGACGGACAGAGAGGGACAGAGAGACAGAAAGTGAGAAATCACCCCCCGGGGGGATGGCCATGCTACAATCCCTTCTCCTCCATTCTCCTCTCGGGATCTTGAGCACACACACATAAGCGCCCGGCGTGAGTTTTAAGCCACCAGGTCCAGGACACGAACCGCGGTCACCTAATGGGAGTCCAGTGGCATAGCCATTACGCTAACTGCTGGTCCCCTTAAATAAGTATTTTTTTAAAGTTGGTGGAGACAAGAATGATGGTACTCAGGTAACTTCACAAAAGGCCTAGATATTATCTTACTGAAGATGTGCCTCGAAAGTTGTTGAGTCACAGCAAAAAAACCCTACAGTCAGCAAGTGAGGAAGCTGTGAGACAGCATCACTCCTGGGACCATTATGA